ACAGCACATTTTGTTTTGTGAGCATCCAAATCCACATTCGCCCCCTCTTCTTCTTGCAATTCTTCTAATTCTAACAGTTCAACAACATTCGAGACGAGATAAGGAAGTGTCTTATTCACCTAGAATACAAATGCTTTGGCAAACCAATGTATTTACTTTTTTGAAGCTCCCTTCATTTAATACTTAAACTTGAAAAAGTCCGCAATCCCGTACTTCTTTAATTAAAGTACTGAAAAAAAAATTTAGCCATCAATAATTTTAACAAGGGCATGCCTTAATACGTTCGTTGTTCTCTTTAATCCGCTCCTTTAAAGTCTGTACACTATGGTTGATTCGCTGCACTTCGGATCGCATTATTCTTATCTCATTTTCAAGCAGGTGTGTACGCTGGCGAAGGTCGTCGGCAGACTTACGCAAAATTTCTTCATCAACTGGATCCTCCTAGGGTTCAAATAAGATTGGCTAAAAACTACCGAAACGTATGCATCGTACAGCTAGTAAAACTGGAAGAAAAAGAAGGTTAGTCCATATTCCCACTACAAAATTTTTTTTTCGTCGAAACTTATGAAGTCAACCTCTTCAACTTCCATTGCTTCATTGGACTCATTTTCGTTATTATTTGCCGTACTAGCAGCCATCACAACCTAAAATTGACGCATAAGGTGTTTCAAACCCTTTATTTTCACAAAAAAAAACAACTAAATTAGTAAATCCGCGTCTGAATACTAAAAAAGCACGGGAAAATTTAGCGAAAAAATAGCAGCAAGAATCTTGTCAGGTAGGTTATGCAAAATGAAGTGATACCAAGCACTAACAAACTGTAAAAGCTTAAAAAATAGATAAAGAATAAAAAGGAGAAAAAGTAACAAGAAAATAACTATAAAAGCAAAATAGTTATCAATTTTTGGCAATATATAAACAAAGCAAGAAGAAAAGCCAATTACACATGCAGTGACATATTGTTTTGATTCATTTTCCCTCTTTAGCTCAACAGAATTGCTTTCAGAAGACCTGCCGC